AGAAATAAAATTAAACTAAACTCAATCCCCGGCAACGGCGCCAAAAACTTGTTCGCGAAATTATTTCTTTCGATTTTAAACCACCACAAGTGTACGGTTCGTTAACAAGTAATAAAATGGATTCAATGAGTCCGAAAATCGTTCCACAGATATTGATTAGTTCAAATTTTATCTACCTTAACCTTAACCAAAATTGAATTACCAAAATGGATGTAGACCTAATTGAACCTCAATTATGCACTTTTTGACTTATGATTAAATTGAAATTAATATGCAAAACAATAAATTAAACTCGAGAATGAAATCTAAAAGTTGAGAACGCACTTGTTATAATTATTGGGAATGAAATACGCTAAGATCACGAATTTCCATACAATTATCACTTTAAACCCTAGCTTCACAATATGACAACACATTTCGATTTTAATGAATCAATGTTCCTAAATCTATTCAATACTCTCTCTCGAGATGTATCAAACCTATTTCTACACACCACCGGTCTATATTTCTATGACAAGAGCATATGTAAAAATGCAAGAAATTTTATGAACATTTAAAGATTCACATAGAGCATAGCGGTATATTTCTATCCACTATCGGACTCTACGATGATTTATACTATGTCAAATCTATTCCAATTCTCTCGAATGCAAGAATAAACCACTTAAATTCACACAATTACGAGCTCTTAATTGCGAAAACATTTAATTGCATATAAATCATTCAACATAATAGAAATTGTGTCTTACATCAAATTGCAAAACTAGAATATTAAACTTCAATTCACATGATTCATCGATCTCCTAGCATAAATAAATCTAGCCTAACATGCTCAAAATAACAAAATACATCAAAGTTTGTATATAAGATGTTACCGGGTTGGATAAATCTTGAAGTTCTTCGTGTTAATCTTTGTTCTTGCACTCAAATCCTCTTCAAGAATTGTTTTTCGACCTCCAATTACATTCTGGGCATCTTTGGAATGTTTTTGGTATTTATATGAGTGGAAAATTAGGTTACCATAGGTGTTTCAATCGTATAAGGAAAGAAAATTTTTGCGCCGAATTTGTACCATGCGACCGCATGGTTTTAATCCGTGCGGCCACATGGTTATCATCTTTTTTATTTTTAAACCCTGCATCACTTCGTGCGGCCGCACGATTTTTCTACCATGCGACCGCATGGTAGAAATCATCTTTCAGTTCCTGCAATTTGGTCCCTTCACTTTAATCCTCCACTTTTTTACATCTTTTCTTCATTCTTCACATTCCATCATCCCAAAATGTCGTCAATTCGTATTTGGCACACTCAATTTCTTGATTTGTTCATTGGGTCAACTTTTGAGTAATTGCATCTTGGTCCTTGAACTTTAGCTGTGTCATTTTAGTCCTTTTTCGCGTCTTTTCTCGTGTATTTCACCATGTCCATCGATGTTATCTACAATTCACACATATAATGAAATTAAGTCACAATTAGATCATTTTATTCATAATTAAGTCATGTTTATGACCTAAATAAGTGTGCAAAAATCACACTTATCAGAGATCAACGAAGTTTTTCTTGATGAAATGCCTTTTTATTGGAGATGTGACTACTCCAGTGAGAAAATGATTGCGCCACTTGACAATGCAGAGTAGCCAGGACAACAAAGTCTAACTAAAGACTATAAATTAAGCATTTATTAGGAGGAAACCCAATTTCTAAACTTTTTATTTATTTTGTTTTCTGCATCGCATTGCATATAGATGTGTTTTAATTATTAGTTTTTATTAGATTTAGACACGTTTAAATTTATAGAGTATCATCATCCGATCATGTTTTCACAACAGCCCTTAAATATAATGCTCGTTATTTCAAGTGTTTGGGCTAAGTAACGCATGTTTTAGATCATTTGATCTCTAATGTTTGATTCGATTGCCATATGTAAAAATATGACATTGTGGAACACTCAAACCAACATAGAACAAAGAAAAAGTATGATGAATAAGATTGTCTGGCCGTTGCCCATAGTCCTTTCCACACTCAACGGAAAATTTCGGGGAGTACCTTTGTCCTTTTCTTCCCCGTCCCCCTACATTCTTAATTATGTTTTAAGACGTTGAGGACAATATCTAGTTTAATTTTGGGGATGGGAAACACTTTGTGTTTTTGGTTTTCGTATGTTTAATTAAAAAATAAATAAATTTAAAAAAATCGTTATTTTATTTTTTGGGCTCTGCTTGTGTGGGTTAGACGTTTTGGCTGACAATGATGATTAAATTTGAGATTTGGTGTTGATTTATGAATTGTGGATAGGATGCATGCTAGATTGATTGAAGCTTGAACTTGCAAAACTTGATATTATATGTGTACTAGAACTGAGTTTGACATTTTGATGAAATGAGCTGATTTATACATGTAATAAATTGTTTTAGTTGGACATAGATGTTGTTGACGTCAAAACTAGCAAGGCTAATTTTAAGTCAACTTTAAGAAAAAAGGGAATTTATTATTGAAAGAAATCACAAAATATGTTGAGAAAGTGTAATTGTGCCATGAGTTTTTACATGAATTTACTTGCCCTTTACAAGATTTCCGCCCTACTATTTATACATGGTTCTAGTCAAAATTACATCAAATCAACTATAGTACCGAGCTCGAAACTTGAGTCACCGAATTCTCTTGTGATTGGTCGACGAGGCAGGTGGCTATGTGCCAATGTTTTCCCCAGGCAATGTGACCTGCAAGGGGTTTGAGAATCATGGCTTCGGATTGGCGGTTTTGGGCGGTGATGACGTCACTTGTAGCAAGTGTATATGATTGATAGGGTGATGTGACAGGAAGTAATCATGATGTTTTCCTAAGATAACGGTGGGCTAGTCCGATCTGGGAGCAGTGACCAAACTCACATCTGCCTATGGTTGGTTTAGTGAATTGTTTTTGTTAGATCGAAGTTCGTTAGTCAACAATCACCCCCAGGTCAGTTCTGCTGTAAGGGGGAGCTAACCTTCCATCTTATCGGACCCTTTTCTCGAGGGGTTCAATTATTATTGTGCTAAGTGTTACATTTTTTATAGGGGTGAGCTGTACGACATTTTAGACAGCTTCTTTAAGAAGTTTCGTGAAGAGACCATTTTGACTAACTAGCCTTTTCTGCCATTTGATCTTTTCCTCCTTTTTTGAATGGACAGTCTGATTTGAGACCCTTTGACTTCTCTTCCTTTTAAATCCATTTTGGCATTTCATTTTTCCTTTTTACTTTATGCAATTTTTTCTCCAAGGTAGCAAGATACTCCCGGTGTGCCCTATCTTCCTTCTGAGTAAGCTCATCTTTCTTTCCATTTCCCAGGTATTCCTTCGTGAACGTCTCGCAGGGCGTGTTAGGCTTCTTCTTCGTTCAAACATCTTAATAAGGGCGTAGAATATCCCCGCTTGTAGAGGACATTATCAATGAGTGTGTACCTGATCGACCTGATTCGGAGCTTTTTGCCCTCTGTTGAGTTTTCGAGACATTTTTTGGTCTTTAGGTAAGCGATGATCTTGTCCTGTCAATTTAGCTTGGGATCTATCATCATAAGGACCACTTCTGGCAGCTTGGTGGTAGGTAGGGATATTCTTCCCATGGGGATGCTATCGAATTCTTCAATTCTCTCACTAGTAGCTAGGCGAGCTAGTGCATCGGCATGGTTGTTCTGAGATCAGGGAATCTGCTTGACTTGGGTGGTGTTGAATTTTTCCAGTTCTTTCCTTACAACCCGTAGGTAATTGTCCATTCTTTCTTCTTTCGCCTGATATACGCCATTGACCTGATTCACGACTAATTAGGAGTCGCTATGTATGATTAGGTCAGAGATTCCCAACCCTTAGGCTATCCTTACTCTGGCAATGAAGCTTCGTACTCGACCTCATTGTTTGAAGCTTTGAAGTCAAATGACAAGGCCTTGCAGAATATGCGTTGCTCAGGGCTGATTAATACCATACCAGCCCCATATCGGTCTCCGGAGGATGAACCATCGACATAAAGTTTCCATGCAATTTCTTCTGGTAGTTCCTCGATTGGAACGCTGTAGAACTCAGAGACAAAGTCAGCGAGCGCTTGGCCCTTGATGGAGGAACGAGGTGTGTATTTTATGTCGAATTGTCCGAGCTCGACTGCCCATTTTATCATCCGACCCGAAGTGTCGGGTTTTTTCAATGTTTGTCTCAATGGGGAGTTGGTGAGGACTTCAATGGGGTGTTCCAAGAAATATGACCTCAGTTTTTGCGCTGTCATCAGCAGGGTGAATGCCAATTTTTCCACGGGCTAGTATCTGAGCTTGACTTTGTGAAGCGCTTTGCTTACGTAATAGACTAGGTATTGAACGCCATTCTCTTCTCGGGTTAGAACGGCACTAATGGCATGTTCAGAGATAGACAAATATAGCTTTCAGGACCTCACCTGCCTTAGGTTTTGAGAATAGCGGAGGCTGAGCTAGTTTTTTTTTTAACTCGTTAAAGGCTTCCTGACACTCTTCAGTCCATTTGAACTTCTTTCCTCCTTGTAATGTGTCAAAGAAGGGTTTGCATCAGTCCGGAGATTTAGAGATGAACCAGCTTAGGGTGGCACTCCTTTCGGTTAAACTTTGTACCTTCCCGGGTTTGGTCGGAGACTTCATTTGAATAACAACTTGTATTTTTTCAAGATTTGCCTCAATTTCTCGATTGTTTACAATATAACATACAAACCTTCAAGAGCTGACCCTAAAGGCACATTTCATCGGGTTTAACTTCATTCCATACTTTTCTCAAGATATCGAACATCTCCACCAGGTGCCGACAGTGGTCTTTGACCTTGATACTTTTGACTAGCATGTCGTCAACATACACTTCCATTATTTTTTCGATCTGCTGGGAAAACATGGAATTCACAAGTCGTTGATATGTGACACCAGCATTTTTTTGACCAAATGGCATTACTCTATAGCAGTAAAGACCTCGGTCAATTACAAACGAGGTATGTTCTTGATCTAGGCCGTACATCGTTATCTAGTTATATCTGGAGTACGTGTCCATGAAGCTAGTAGTTCGTGTCTCGCAGTGGCATCCACCATTTGATCTATTCTTAGTAAAGGAAAACTATCTTTAGGGCATGCATTGTTGAGATCAGTGAAGTCTATGCCTACCCTCCAATCTCCATTATATTTTTTCACAAGGACCGGATTTGCAATCCACTTTGGGTATTTTGCCTCGTGGAGGAAACCATTGTGCAATAGTTTTTGCACCCCCTTATTGAGTGATTCATATCTTCCAGGGTTTAGAGGTCGTCGTTTTTGCTGCTTTAGCCGAACTGAGGGATCCACCTGTAATTTGTGACAGGCAATTTTGGGATCTATCACTCTCATGTCTCCATGATTCCAGGCAAAGACGTCAAGGTTTTGTCTAAGGAAGGCCACAATTTCATTTCGGGTGGAGGACTGCAGCTCGTACCCGACTTTGAGCTCTTTTGATGGGTCGTCAGCACAAACTTGAACTCCCTCTAGCTCTTCGATGGGTTCTTCCCATTGGATCTTGGTCCGCAGGTCTAGTGGAATGAGCTTGGATTCTCATATATTGGCTATATATACTCTTGAGGGGTCCGTTGATGGCTGGTGCAGGGTTTCTATTAACATCTTTCGGCGAGCTCCCTGTTTCCTTTGACTTCACCCACACCATAGGATGTGGGGAACTTGACTGAATAGTGATACAGGGACACTGCTGCTCTCAGGCTGAATAATACGGGCTGTCCCATTACATCATCATAAGGTGATGGAGTGTTAAATACTACGAACTCGGAGTTTGTCTTCACCTGTCGGGGTGCTGATCCTAACTCGACTTTGAGCTTGATCGATCCTTTGGCGAAAGTCAGGGCTCCGCTTAATCCAAGGACCATATTTGAGTACGGTTGGAGGAAGTTAGCAAGGATACCCATCCATTTTGAGGATGTTGCTGAAGAGGATGTTTAGAGCACTCCCCATATCCATTAAGACTTTGGGATGGTTACCCCAGCTACAGGCAACGAGATAACCAGAACTCCGGGGTAAGGATATGGATCCACCTCTTTTTCATCAAAGGACAATCACTTATCTGTGGCTTTCTTGAGGTGCTTTTCTGTTATGCCGATCTCAGAGAGATCCGCAACGATTGGTCTCTTCAGTCTGGCTTCCCTGGCTTGCGTGTTTGCCCTACCCCTTAGCATGTTGACTTGTGGCTTTGGCAGGTCGACATTGCAAGCCCTTGCTCCAGCTTGATCCCCTCGGTTAATTGTTGCCCTGTAAGGACGGGATAATTTCATACAATAATTCTAAATTGATGTAGCAGCTTTTAGCTCGTGCAAAATGGGTCATCCCAATATTGCGTTATCGTTGGATGGTAAATCAACCACCACGAAATTTGATAAGATCCTTCTTTAGCGAAGAGCTTCACCCAGTTCTACAACAAGGATGATTTGACCTCGGGCTTCAATAGGATCTCCAGAGAATCCCTGTAGTTTCCTTGAGTACGGTTGGAGGTAGCGTTTCGATATTTCCAACTATCTCAAAGTTCGTGAGTACAGTATATTGACCGAACTTTCGTTGTCTACCAATGTCCGGTGGATTTTTACTCTGGCAACTGGCATTGTGACAACTAGGGCGTCACTTTGGTCTTGAAGGATTCCTTCAGAATCTTTCTCCATGAACCAGAACCATTCAGGGTCTATCTCGATCTGCGGGATTTGATTCCAGTAGTTCGGCACGATTCTTGCACTTCGGGCTTGTCTTCTTCTCGCCCTTCTAGACCCCTCAACATACTGATTTTCTCCCACCATTATTTTGATTTCAGCACGTGGGGTGGATTAAGATTAGTGACTGCCTATTAAGCTCATGTGGAAGGCCCCTGCAACAACGGCTGCTGCGTCGTAGGTCGATCTGCTTCTTTCGGTTTGGCAACAAACTCCTGTAACCGACCTCTACGAATTAAGGACTCAACTTCCTCTTTTAATTCTCGACAGTTATTAGTGTCATGGCCAACCATCCTATGATATCAACAGTATCGTCCCTGGTGGTGTCCTGCCTGCCCGTCCTTCAGGATCATAGGCCTGTGAAATGCCTCTTTTTCAATAGTTTGCATGAATACTTCTTCCAAGGAGGCTTGAGTGGGTGGTATTCCCGAAATTTGTATGGCTGAGTCTTAGGACGTTTTCTTTCTCTCCTATCCTTCTTTCTTTCAGGCTGAGGACTGCCGCTTGATTTTTTTTTCTTTCACTGTATTGCTGAAGTCGAGTTCGCATCTGGCTTCTTCTTGGTCAGAGGTTGTCTGTTCAGCACTTATGTATTTCTCAGCTCGGTTCAAGAACTCGTGATAAGTTCTTAGGCCGTCCTCGTGTACTGACCACCAGAATCTTGTTCTGGGCCTAAGTCCGGCTAGTACGGCCATGAGTGCTGCGTTGTCAAATATTTTTTCTACTTCCATGGATTGCTTATTGAATTTGCTCAAATAGCTTTTAAGGGATTCACTTCTTCCTTGTTTGATGCTTACTAGTCGTTCTTTGGGTGTGGTCTGGCCTTGGAGCCCATGAACTAGGCCAAGAATGACGTGGCCAGATCATTCCAATTTTTTACCAACCTCTGTTGTAGTCTCCTAAACCATCTCTGAGCTTTGTCTCCTAGAGTCAGGGGGAATGCCCGGCATATAATTGCATTGCTTGTCCCCTGCAGTTCCATCCACGAGTTGTATTTGTTAAGGTGGCTGAGGGGATCACCATCCCCTTCGTATGCAGCCATCTGGGGGATTTTCAATTTTTCAGGTAATGGTTTCATAAGGACATCCTCAGTAAAGGGGGAATGTCGTTTGGTGAGATAATCTTCGATGCCACCTTTGTTTTTAGCCTCTAAGTCAGCCATGCATCTTTTCAGTGCTTTCAACTCGGGTTCTGTCTACTCCAGAGGACGCTTAAGGTCGGGGTCGGTTTGTCCTTACGTAGGAGTTAGCGAGTGCTGGGTCCCCAGTCTGTCGAACACACTGCCAGTCCTTCTTGCCCGAGATCCTTACTCCTGACTTCGTCAATTGGGCTTCTTGAGGATTCTCCTCTTCTAAAGCCTGGTGGGGGGACGTCTTGCTCTTGTCCTCGCAGGGGATTCTGCCTCGATATCTGGTGGGGATAAGTGAGCTTGTTTCCATTCCAATCATCCTACTACATTTGTCAGTTTTTCCAGAGCTTCCCTTATAGTGATCATCTGAGGATTTTGTCGTCGTGGAGAACTTGGTAGAGTATTCGTTTCATGAGGATGGGTGTGAGATGGGTTTCTAGAACTTGAGCTATGACTCATGGCTCTCGAATTTTGTGGGGAGAATGAGACTATTTTTCACAATTGGGGGCCCTCCTTCTAGAGCCAAACTGTTGACTTCAAAATTAGCAAGGCTAATTTTAAGCAAACTTTAAGAAAAAGGGGAATTTATTATTGAAAGAAATCACAAAATATGTTGAGAAAGTGTAATTGTACCATAAGCTTTTACATGAATTCACTTTCCTTTTACAAGATTTCTGCCCTACTATTTATACATGGTTCCAACCGAAATTACATCAAATCAATCAAATCAGCTACAGTACCAAGCTCGGAACTCGGGTCGTCGAATTTTCCTATGATTGGTCAACGAGGCAGGTGGCCATGTGTCAATGTTTTTCCTATGTAATGATGATCTGTAAGGGGCTTGAGAATCATGGCTTCGGATTGGCGGTTTTGAGCGGTGAGGACGTCACTTGTGGCAAGTGTATATGATTGATAGGGTGATGTGATGGGAAATAATCATGATATTTTCCTGAGATAACGGGGGGCTAGTCCGATCTGGGAACAGTGACCAAACTCACATCTGCCTGTAGTGGGTTTAACGAATTGTTTTTGTTAGATCGGAGTTCGGTAGGCAACAAATGTTACCTAAACTATACGAATTATTTATCCGTAGACCAAATTTAATACAATTTGGGGAAATCTTACTGTTGTAGGAAGATACGGATGTGAATGTGGATTCCTTGTGTGAAAATTTTTGTGTACATTGTCTGAGATTAATAGGATAAAATTGGGCAAAAGTCTTAAATTGGAGGTCGATTTGCTTGAATAATAAAAGTCTTAAATAATAGTGTAATTATCGATCGTCACAATTGCATGAATTGAGATAATTATCACTGGTTGAGAATTAGAGTTAAGAATTGATCGGTGGCGTCGGAAATCCAATACGTTCGCACATTTGATTTTTGAACCAACTTTCATTGTTTTCACAAGTTTTAATTATAAAAATTATTTAGCTATTCCTTCGATCGTCTTTTGGTTACAAACACGAATTTAAACATATCAAATATACTAGAATTAATCCTTATTCTCTGTGGGATGATAACTCTCTCATCACGATTATTACTTGTACAACGAACCCGTACGCTTACGGGATTTTGACGAACACAACTCAAGCATTTCATAAAGTCAATCCTACACCTAATATTTCCATCATCAGATGTAGGTGTTTAACGACCCTTTGATTGTAGCAATTTTACACAATATTATAAAATAAAGGGATCTCGTAAACATAATCCCATGAAATATCAATTGAATTTTTTATATTGCTTTCTTGCTCAAGTATAAATATTGGTCATTATGGTATAGAGAAATATATAGTAAAAAAAAGAAGAAGATAAGTTTCCTACCTTTCTTCATCTAATATGGCCACGAAGCAACTTTAAATCACATTGAATTAAGCTTGCCATCACTTCTACTCATTGGCAAACCACCTAGTGACGTATTCCCACCTGATTTTTTTTAATCCTTGGTCCCTTTAGACATTTCAATATTAATGGTCCATAAATCATCATTTCGATTGATAAAAAATCTCGAAAATTCACAGTGAAAAAACACGCATTTGAAGATTATATTTGTGGATAAGCAGCAAATAATGGAGAGACGGGCATAAGAGGCAAGACTTTGACTCCTATGACTTCAGTTACATTAAGCATGTATTTATCGAAAAGAATAAACACAAATCTGATAAAATGTCAAGTAAACAATAAAATCCTCACGGTGCCTACTACGTGAGAAGAGGCAAAATGAACATCATTACCGTTTCTAACTCTCAAATTGTAAATCTCGAAAACTCACAATGAAAAAACACTCATTTGAAGATTATATTTGTAGATAACCAGCAGAGAATGGAAAGAAGGGCTTAAGAGGCAAGACTTTGACTCCTATGGATTTTAGTTACATTAAGCAAGAAACGAATAAACTCAAATCTGATGAAATTTCGAAGTAAACAATAAAATCTTGACGGTGCCTACTACGTGAGAAGAGGTAAAATGAAAATCATTACCATTTCCAACTCTTAAAATTGTGCAAAAAATTACTAAAGAAACGAAGTCTATATTTTTCTATGAGATGAAACTCGAGTGTAGAAGAAAATATTTTCAAATCTAAGAAGAAGAAAGAGAAACATCAAGGCAAGAAGAACTTTATAGCACAAAAACCTGTGGTCATCGGACTCTGCTGGTTGCATGCATAAAGGCAGCGAGACACCAGTGGGTGGCGGGAACAAAGCCGAGTTCTTACGGGCTGGTGTAGGTGTACCCGCGAGTGGGGAAGAGAGCCAAATTTTTAGAGGCCGTTGTCGATGTGACGTCGTGTTTGCTGTGCAAAGAAAAGAAAGGATGGGGAAGAGAGACTTCGGCTGCTAGAGAAGGAAACCCTCGATTTTCTTTCTCCTTACTCTAGTCTAGAAACCAAAAGAAAGGATGGTTGTACTGAGCCGCTCAAAAATTCCCTTTAGGCTAAAATCTGGCTTATCGTCCAGCCAACGACTTCCAGCTCGTGATTGTGGCTTGTGAACAGTACCATTCCATTCCCTCGAAGATATAGTCTGACGTAAGCTAGGACACCTCGTTAAAAAAAAAAACAACAACAAATTACCTAAAACCCTACTTTTAGAAAAATATAGAAAACAAATTCCCTAAAAATCAACAATATTCACTACATTCACCTTATCCTACCCCACCACACAATTCCACATACTATAGAAATCCTCAATTTTTAGGGAGTAATAGACCATAAGGTTATCCACCCATCACCATAGAGGTACAGCTACCAAAAGATTTATTGAAATAAGAAAAAAATTTATTTTTTGATTATTGTTGTTCCACATTCCAACATTTAAAAAGAAACAAATTGTATCTCACTTATTCGTCATCACTGGTTAAATGAAAATGATTCAATTTTTCTTAAATAGATACACGAAGAGATCTTCAAGTTGAGAAACAACATCTATTATAAAGTTGGATATACAAGTCATTTAAGTGTTATATTGAGATTTGGCTGATCGTGCAATTACAATAAAATGTTAAGAAATAACTTGCCATTTTTAAAAGATAAAGCCAAATCACTACCCCATAAATGTGTGCAGACCAATGATGCAATGTTTCCCCAATAATGTTACAAACATTTTTTACGAAATCACTCTAATCATGTTGGACCACACTAGTAGATTTGGTCAGTTCAAATTAAAATTGTTTGATTCTGAATCTTAAAATAAAAAATTAAATAATCGTAGTCCGATTCTCAATTTAGCTATAAAATTGAATTTTAAATTGATTCACAACAAGAGGCAATGTTAATATTTTTATTTTTTTCTACTTGAACACCCTGAGGACGGCCACGACCAATAACAAAAATTATGAACCCCTTCTTGTGACAACCATCGGTTCTGCATGTCTGCTTCTACCACTTTTACTTTACGCCGGCCCCTTTTAAAAGGGATAAATAGTCAAAACCTCCCCGAATTTTGTGTTTGTGAACTGAGTTTCTCAATCTCGATTGTACAAATAAATACCATGGTCCAACACTCCCAATCTTTTTTTTTTTTTTTTTACAAGGTGTCCAATTCTTGACTAATCCTTGGGTCTGTGATTCGGCTCCTCTTCACACAGTCCGATTAATCGCAGGATGTGCCTCCGACTGGCCAGGGTCGGAGCGCTCCCCACCTGGTCTGACAAAGTGCCAAGCAAGCCAATCCAAGTTGCACCTTGCCTTCCAAGAATAATCCTTGCCTTCCAAGTTCCCACTTGCCTTCCAAGAATAAATCCTTGCCTTCCAAATGTTCCCTTGCCTTCCAAGAATAAATCCTTGCCTTCCAAGAGCCCCATATTTCGAACTCACGACCTCTGCTCTGCCAGGTTTGACAGCGTCCGTCCTTTGTCAGTGGAGAAGTGCCCTGGGGGGCCCAACACCCCCAATCTTACTATTACATTGCTTTGTACCTCTATTGCTCAAATAGCATGGTCCGACATCCCAAATATTACAGTGCCTTGTACTGTTCTTATCTCTAGGTTCTTCCTTCTCTCTCTAAAGGTACCCATTTTTGCCAACTTGGAGCCACTTTTTTTTTTCATTTCCCTCCCTTGATCGTCCAACTTTCAACCTTAAATGCTCCCAAATTCTCTCATGCACTGATACTCACAGACAGGCCTCAAGTCGCCGATCATCGAATAGTTTATTCTTGTTTATCTGTGAAATTTTTATTTTGTGCTCGCCTCGATCTGAGAGGTGGTGAAGGTTTTGATGAAGAATTATTTGGGAAATTCACACCGGAGTATTGATGGGTGATCATCGATATGCCTCAACTGCGTAGAGGGCGCCGGCCCACTCAACAAGCCGACCCGAATAAGAAAACCCCGGTTAAAAGGAGGAACACCAGGCGAATTGCAGGGAGACGAACCTCAGTGAAAAAGGATAATAAGAGTAATACGGATAAGGAATTTGTGGTGCTGGATTATGATGGTGGAGATAGTGGGAATAAAAATGTTGCTGCTGCTGGTACTTCTTTGAGAAATACGACGTCGTTGAAGGGTGAGGATAATAGGAAAGCCGAGGAAGTGAAGGAAGAGGTGGGCGTAAAGAAGATGGATGATTGTGAAAGTGGTGGTGACAAGGGCAGCACTGCTCCCCTTCCCGAACGGGTATGTTGAAGTTTTCTTGAAATATTTCCAATTTTTTTCTAGTTATATCTATTTTATTTTGATATTTAAATTATGGGGTTATTTTGGCAGTTATTGATTTTTCAAAAAGAGATGGACTACATGGAAAAAAATTTTGGTTGAAAGATTAGATTTTTCTCTCATCTTTTAGCAATCTGCTTAAGTAGTTTCTATTTGGGGTCTGTCAGTACATAAATGCTCTTTTTGCTAAAGATGGTAGCTCTAAGCTGTATATATTACTTAAAAAAAAAAAAAGGTTAACCCCTAACCTTAAGGGTTCCGGAGGTAAATCGCAGGATATGCCTCCAAAGCTACAGGGTGGAAAGGTGCTTGTACACTTGTACTTACCCAAGAGTCAAATCCATATTTCAGGATTCAGCCGTCTCAAGCGAAGCTGGATTTCTCCACCCTCCCTTTTTACCAGTTGGAGATGTGCTCTGGGGGCACTTTCTCGTAATCAATTGTATTCGAGACTGTTGGTGCTTGGGGGTCTGTTTATGTGGGTTACTGGTTGAAAAATTATCCTTTTGAGGGATTTGTTTGAGTAAATCGTGCTTCAGAATTGAAGGGGAAGATCTAGGTGCTTTGCGGTATTGGTGGATTAGTGTTTAGTGGAATTTATTCTGCATTTCTGGCTCAATGTATTTGTTCTGTAATGCTTTCCGTTGTTCAGTTGATTACTTTTCGAGAAAGTTTGATTTTTTATGTGCTTCACTAAAGAAAAAAGAAGTCTTTTTCTACTCCCTTGTCCAGTCTGAGGTGTTTATGTTGCCAAGTGGAAAAGTAGACAAACATTTTGGTTCTATACAAGGAAGTTAGCTCTTGCTGATCGATGCATTTCATTTGTGGTTCTATGCCAGATGATTTTCTTCAAGGTTCTGTTGCACAGAGCTAGCATGTGTAAATTCAGACATGAGATTGATGGGTAGCTTACCTTGTGCCTAACTTGAGATGTTTGCTAATTAGAATTTGTATGCGAAACAGGTCCAGGTTGGTGGTTCTCCAGCTTATCGAATTGAGAGGAAACTGGGGAAAGGAGGATTTGGACAAGTGTACGTTGGTCGCCGAATAAATCCCCCAAATCTGAATGAAAGAACGGGGCCAGGAGCTGTGGAGGTATGTACTTTCTATACTCTGTAGGTTGCAGCAGTGAGCATTTATTTATGAAATTGCAAAATTTCTTCCATGACCTTTCTAGGTAGCCTTAAAATTTGAGCATCAGAGCAGCAAAGGCTGTAATTATGGACCCCCTTATGAGTGGCAAGTCTACAGGTGAGGTATTTCTTTTTTCTGTTTTTTATAGCTTCCTGTCACAGGTTTAAAAGAATGGTCTCAAAAGTTCCCTGTGCTTTCCACAGTGCACTAGGTGGCAGTCATGGCATTCCACGCGTACATTACAAAGGACGGAAAAGTTCTTATTACATTATGGTAGGTGCTTCATGTGGTAGGTAGTTTGTTTCCCTCTTTCATTTATGATTTATCTGATTTACTATGTGGATGTGACAAACTATCCCATGTTTACAGGTTATGGATATGCTTGGTCCTAGTTTGTGGGATGTCTGGAACAATAATCCACACGCGTTAGTGTCTTTAATTCGCCAAATTTTATTCTGTCCCCTTTTAAATTTCTCATACAATATCACACATCTAACTTCATAATGCATTTTGTACAGTATGTCCATCGAAATGTTGGCATGTATTGCTATTGAAGCAATTTCCATCCTAGAGAAATTGCACTCTAGAGGGTAATTACTTTGAACTCATCTCGACTCTAACATGATAGAATTAGAGAATATTAGTGGGGATACTTTATTTTAGTAATGATTCTAAGAAGCACAAAACCTATCTTTATTTGGCTGTCTATTGTCACTCAAGTTGTATTGAGCATGTTTCTTGTACATTTGTTGAGATTACTACAGTCCTTACGTATTTCATTATAGAATTACCACTTCCATAACTTCCATCAACGACTTTGCCTCATAAAAGCATTATATTCTCTGATACTTGCAATTTTTAATTGGAAATTTTAGGCGCTCCTTTCTTAGTAAAGTGATACGAAGTTTGTTTAGTGCAAATATGGTTGTAGATGATAAAAGGTTTTGGATCATATTCAAAGTGTAACGGTTATAAGCAATACACTGTTTTACCTTAAATCAAACACGCAATGGTAATGTAGAAACATATATGCTTGTGTGTATTTTTGCCAATAAATGTGCTTGTGCATATAGGTCATGCATGTCACCAGTATAGTCTATATTCACAATCCAAACTACTTCACAAGTCCTATCGTATCCTCTGTTGAAAATTGAAGTCTTCATTTATGTTGCTTTTTTGCTTTTAATAAAATATTAATTTCCATTGTTAGCTTTTATGTTTAGCTACATATAAATGTACATACATTAATTGAAAAAGTTTTCAATTGAGTTTTCTGATATAGTGTATTTAAAGTGTGCCAGTGTTTCCAGAATTGCACATGCTTTATAGAGTGAAAAATCCTCTTTTTTTATTTTTCAATTTCCTTATGCCCGCAGAAAGTCGTCATCTCATCATTTTGACTGGATCACTAATTAAGACTGTATTGGTACGATGTAGAAAAACAATTATAAAAATGAGTTGCTTGTCTGAATGCCTGCGCTAACAGTCCTTTCAAATAGAGTATTTTATTCTGAATAACATTTTCCTTTTATATGACTGCTAAAAAATTGTGCAGATACGTACATGGGGATGTGAAGCCTGAGAACTTTTTGCTTGGTCTGCCGGGAACACCTGAAGAGAAAAAACTTTTTCTTGTTGATCTTGGATTAGGTAAATTATCTGGCATACTGTAGCCTTTTTATGAATAATTAGCACAAACTGTACATACAGCGGAGGAATGTTATATTCTCACTGATGTTTCATCTGTTTTAACATCTCAGCCACCCGTTGGCGAGATAGTTCAACTGGCCTGCATGTTGACTATGATCAACGGCCAGACATATTTAGGTAAAGTATTTATAATTCCATATTTTTTTTCCTTCACTTGCGACGTCTGGTGACAATCTATTCTTTTTGCTTTTATTTGACGCTCGAGAATGCTGATGCTGCAGGGGAACCGTACGTTATGCCAGTGTGCATGCTCATCTTGGAAGGACTGGGAGCCGTAGGGATGATTTGGAATCTCTCGCCTATACAATGATTTTTCTTCTGCGTGGTCGACTCCCTTGGCAAGGGTTTCAGGTAGCTGATTTGCTGATCTGAAATATGGTTTTTCCTTATGATTAATTAATTAGGAATGCTAATGTGATGATTCACTTAGGGTGACAATAAAGGTTTCCTTGTCTGCAAAAAGAAGATGGCAACTTCTCCAGAATCTCTATGTTGCTTCTGCCCTGCTCCTTTCAGACAGTTTGTTGATTATGTTGTGAACTTAAAGTTTGACGAGGAGCCTAATTATGCGAAGTACATTTCCCTTTTTGATGGGATAATTGGTCCAAATCTGACCATCAGGCCAATCAACACTGAGGGTGCTCAGAAGGTATCCTTCAAAATTTTCTTTGCATTTGTTTTAATATTTTATTGATATTGTGCTTTCCACTCGCAAAGCTTATATATCAAGTTGGACAAAAGAGAGGAAGGCTCATGATGGACGAGGATGATGATGAGCAACCAAAGAAAAAAGTCCGCATCGGAATGCCTGCAACACAGTGGATTAGTGTGTATAATTCTCGCCACCCTATGAAGCAGAGGTATGAATGATATATAGAACTTAGTTTCTTCCCGAGATTTTCTGTAAGTATAAATATAATAATGTTGCATCCCGTGTTTGGTCTTGTAGATATCACTATAATGTGGTAGATTCAAGGCTTGCTCAGCATATTGGGCGAGGAAACGAAGATGGACTATTAATCAGCAGCGTGGCATCTGCTTCGAACTTGTGGGCCCTAATTATGGATGCAGGGACAGGCTTTAGTGCTCAAGTTTATGAACTCTCACCACAATTTCTTCACAAGGTCTCCTATATTCTTCTGGCCTTGTGTTTCAATGAAGAAAGAAACTTAACACTTCACAATATTGTTTAGAAGAGAAAAATAACACTTCACACCTTAGATTTTGTCCACCTGTAAAAACTCGAACTGTTGAGTTTATAAACTAAAAATGTTAAAAAACGTTGCATTTCCATTTTTAGTGCTAAATTCATTATTTTATTTCTTTCTTTCTTTCTTATTATTATTATTATTTTGGCATATTTTAGTGAAATGAAAATGGGACGCCAGCTAGCACGGCTGCATAATGCATATTAAACTTTAAGAATTTGTGCTATTTGTTAACTCTAAGGAGTAGCTTAATAGTCAGGCATTGAGTTTTGCTCCCCAATGATCACCATTTCGAGTCCCTTCAGGACACTGAGGTGAGTACCCGGTTGCAAACTTTAGGGTCCCGTAGAATTAGTCGAGGTGCGCGTAAGCTGGCTCGGACACTCACGATCATTAAAAAATAAAAATAATAATAAAATAAAATTGTGCCTGTTATTATTTTAATCTGTCCGAGGAATGCCTCTTGCACACATATGAACTAATATCTTTCCTTTATATTTGCTGTAGGAATGGATTATGGAACAGTGGGAGAAAAATTATTATATCAGTGCAATAGCAGGGACTAATAATGGAAGCTCATTAGTAGTTATGTCGAAAGGTTGGTGTCACAATTCTGTTGTCTTTTGATGCAATATGGGGGTCACCTAATCTTTTCTTGTACTTTATAAAATACAGGTACTTCGTATCTACAGCAGTCCTATAAAGTCAGTGATTCGTTTCCATTTAAGTGGATCAACAAAAAATGGAGGGAGGGGTTCTTTGTCACTGCCATGGCAACTGCAGGAACTAGGTGGGCAGTTGTTATGTCCCGTGGGGCTGGTTTCTCGGATCAGGTATGTTGCTAGCATGGTAAGTATGTTTCTTTTTATCGAAGACAAGTAATAATTGGATCACAAACTTCAGGTTGTCGAGTTGGACTTTCTTTATCCCAGTGAAGGTGTTCATAAAAGGTGGGACGCTGGTTATCGCATCACATCAACTGCAGCAACTTGGGATCAAGCTGCTCTTGTTCTTAGTGTTCCAAGAAGAAAGCCTGCAGATGAAACACAGGAGACACTTCGGACTTCTGCTTTTCCAAGCACACATGTTAAGGTTTGATTGTTTACATCCTTTATCACTGTTAAACCAATTTTGGTCCGACTTGCGACTATTTTGTACACAATGGTTATCAGTTATTTTATGCAGGAAAAGTGGTCAAAAAATCTCTACATCGCATCGGTATGTTATGGGCGAACTGTTTCTTGATGCATCCCCAATTTTTTCGTGTACAAGATTACACCTCTTTGTACGAGCTGCAACTGACTTGCACATTTTTTCGCGATTGAAGAGTTGTTCTCATGTTTTCAACTGCCAAGCCAAACAGGTCGTGCCATTCGATATTGACCTGTGCTTGTGTTGTACCATCGAAGTATAATATTATTATTTGCAACGCCCGGTCACTATACTGCACTTGTTATGAAATGATTTGAGCAGCTTCAAATCTTTCGCTTGTAGTTAGCTTATTGCTTGAAGTTTGTACAGTTTTGAACCGTAATTACTTGATTGGAGGCAAAGCATACAGATTTTATATCTGGATTCCGATGGTATTTTGATACGTGCACCCCTATTTATGTGTAATCTATTTTGAAAATTTTAGGCCTTGTTTGACACATTATTTGAAAAATTAAAGAGTTTCGAATAGTATTTTTGTACAATGTGTGATTAAAAAGTAAGAAAATTTTATTGGTTTGTGTATAGAATATTTTAGTGTGAATGTGTAGTTAAGAATGATACTGTAGCGAATAATTTAAATTTTTAAAGATTGTCAAACAGGGGCTTAGTGTTTGTTTGACATTGTTTTTAAATGTTTATAAATTGTGGATCATACAGATGATAAATGGGATTTTTTTAATCACAATTTCATAAATATAAATATTTGATAACGTTCAATTTTAATTAAACTAACTAAATAAATAGGGTTTTTTTAGGGCCCGTTTGATTCTCATTCTTTGATTACAAAACTGAAAAATATGATTGTTATTTATCACATTAAATCATTGTATTTGATTTTCTATTTTTTGTGTGGATTTCGTAACAATTATATTTTTCATTCTTATTCTTAAAAAATGGGAAAAAAAAAAAGAAAAAATCAGCCAAAGGAAAATTTCATATCTTCTTCATTCGACCCACCCTCACTCCATCCCATTCCACTAGGACAGGACGATAATTTCCTCTTCAGGACTGAGAATAATTTAATCACTTTGGTCCAATCTCTTTCAGTAATTTAGGCTAAAATGAATATTTGAAGAAAGGACCAGTTCATATTGGTAATATTCATATTTAAATCCAATCATGAAGGGTCAGCTAGGCGGTATATTCATATTCAAACTAACAACTTCCAGGACGTGGAGACCCAATCTGGCCATTTAAATTAGGGGCTCACAATCTCACTTGTAAAGGCACTATGTGGAAGGTTGGGAAGCATATCCCTAATTTTTCTAAACATTAAATTCAAAAGATTTTTTATTATTTTTTTTCAAGAAGCATTTTGAGAAAAACATTGACTGAACAAAAATTATATTTGACCAAAATTAAGC